GAGACTTAGACGACACAACTTTACATGGGTTTTGTAAAGAGTACCACAAATATGACCTCTTGCAATAATCATAGAGCCTTTAGATAATTTCCACGTACCTTCTTTGAACTGGCTTTCATACCCCTGACGATCCAGAGCAACTCCTGAGATAAGATTCAATCTCAGATCTGGAACATGTCGAACATCTTTCAACACAAGTTTGCAGCCAACACTCGTTTGAATGTGCACATCTCCAATGCCAACAATGTTTGAGAAACTCGTATTTCCCATCTTCACATCACCATGGTCTCCGGGATTATAAGTTGCAAATAAATTTAGGTGCGGAGTGGCGTGAAATGATGCAGCGGTATCAATCACCCATTCAATATCATGCGTACCTATGTAGGCATGCTTCTTCTTCGCAAATAACAAGTGCAATGTCTGGTGCCATGGTGACCATGGTCTCACCATCTTCTTTGCTTTAACTTTGACTCGTGTGAGGCTGCTCCCGTAGAAACTTTCGGCATTCCCTCTTTCTGTGCCCATAATGACCACAATGGTTGCAATAGCCCTCGAACCAAGTATTGGTATCGACGGACTTCCCCCGCTCTTGTGATCTTCCTGGAACTTGAGATCTCCCTCTACTTTGACCTCGAGCTCTGCCTCTGCCTCGACCTCGTCCTCTACCTCCATTTCTGCCTCCCCCTCGTCTGCTGGTTTTTGAAATGAGAGCATATGACTGATCAGTTCCAGCTTCCTTCCTTCGTGCTTCCCCCTCATTCATCAAGGCGTCTGTGACCATCTGCATAGTCACGGTACCATTTGGGGCAGAATTACTGAGAGTAACAACAAGGGTCTCCCAGTTATCAAGTAGAGAACTAAGGAGAAGTATTGCTTGTTCTTCATCTTTGAGGACCCATCCAATGGTGCTTAATTGGTTCACAAGATCCTGGAACTGACTCGTGTGTTCCGACACAGAAATGCCACCGCGTAACTTGTGGTTCACTAATCGTCTCATCAACAGCGTTTTATTCTAAGCAGTTTTTGCTTGCTACATGCTACTAAGTTTCTCCCACAGAGTGTGAGCACTTTGCTCCTGAGAAACATGATGAAACACGCTATGATCAATCCACTGTCGGATTTGCGCGACAGTTTTTCTATTCATCTTAGCCCATTCTTCATCCGTCTTTTTATCTGGTTTGACGCCATTATTATCAAGAGGATCTGCTAAATCTTTCAAATTTAGCAAATCCTCCATCCGAGGTTTCCACATGTTGTAATTTGTGGAAGTGAGCGCAATCATTGTATCCGAAGATGACTTTTCCATGATAAAAATGTACACTTATTCCCGTACCTCAATTTGGAAGCTGAATTAGGCCAAACGGAGCACACCGTTGAATCTGTAATGGCCAAACATGGTGGGAACCGGTCTCACCTCTTCAAGAACCGGCCGGGAAAAGCGTGAACCGGAGTATTGAACCACAAATTGAACCGGACCGGTTCTAGCCAAAAGCAGTGGGCAGCCAACCAGGCGGATGACGTGGCACCACCTGGTAGTGACGTGTCCGTGACGTGGCACCACCTGGCAGTGACGTGTCCGTGACGTGGAAGATGACGTAGCACCGACGTGCTCAAATCGGCTTGTCGTCGGTGACGTGGGAGATGACTTGGCGCTGACGTGCCAATGACGTGGCGTGACCTGGTGATGACGTGGCTAGATGACTGGTCGTCTTCTCCGGCGAGGTTGCTGCCGGACTGGAGTACTGCAGCGGCTTGACTGGCAGGAGAGAGAAACTTTGACCGGACGTTTGGAGGCCTTCCTTTGCTCAAAAAAATACGAAAAATATATTTTTGGAATCCTCAAAACGAAAGCTTTCTAATGGTAACCTCAAAACAAGATTCTAGAACAAACTATTTTTGACCAAAAATTCGAGTAAAATGGTGAAATCTGGATTTCTGGACTAAACTGTCTCTGATACCACTTGTTAGGATTGGAAAATTCTTCTATTCATAACCAGAACAGAATTACAATACGAGGAGCAACTCTCTCACTCAACTATTACAAAAAACCAACCCTTTCATACACTCACACTCTATGTGTATCACTCTCTATATTTCACTCCGAATTTTTTGATGCCTTTGAACAATGGAATAACATCCTATTTATAGGCAAGGCTGGAGACATATTCATTGGAGCCCATGCTACAACCCATGCTACAACCCATGTCTCCTCTCCATGCTTCTCTTCAGTGGGCAGGAGATGGAAGACCATCCCATGATATGGAGGATGGAGTGGGCTTGCTGGGAGCTGGAATTCTACACTAAGCAGGTCACTAATGTTCTTGCATTTGAAGAAAATCTACACCAAAATGAGCTCATCATATCCCTGGCTATCTGCAGCATCTCTTATATAAGAAGCACCTATTAAAGAGAATAAATGAAAAACATAGACTATAATGCAAGTAAGATTTAGTTAGCAGAGGAATAAAGCCTAACACTTTGTTATGATCACATAAGATGAGGAGTAATGCCTCCTGCAAAAATCAAGCTAAACATCATTAATGGGGTAAGTAAATTGAATAATCTGGAGTAGGACAAAAGATCAAATTGCTAATGAGGTCTCCCTCTAGAATTCTGGAATAGGGACTTTAAATAGGATTATTAGTTAAAAGCTTAAAACATCAAAATTAGTTACTTGGGGCTCCTGAATACTAAAATCATCTAAGTCACTACTACATTCATAGTGACCAACGACAAAAATACGATTAATTACCACAACGTCACTGCAGTTCATTTTTAAAAAATTCTACCACTTTATCTAGCAACTACTACTTCACTTAGGATGGATACAGCGGAGGACCTGGGGGTCCTGGGGGGGGGGGGGCAAGTGCCCCGCTTATGACTCTGAAACTTAGTATTAGTACTTAAGATAAGAATTGTGCCCCCACTTTACAGACAAAAAATAGATATAAGGCTAATTTCATCGAAATGTTAGATTATTGGACTTATCCTACATGTAATATTCACATTATATTATTTATCGGGTTTAATTGTATGTTATATGCTATCTTATATTTAGGCCCAAAAATTAGTGGTCCTATGGATATTAATTTAAGTGGGCTAATAAGTCATCTAATAAGGTATAGTGCCCAAATGTGTAGAGACTCATGGGCTTGACCTAATCAATGATGGGCTGATTAGGGTTAAGCACTCTCTATAAATAAAGGGTTATGGTCCCTAGTTGAGCACGTCATTCCGTCTTTCTGCATCCCATCGCTAGAGAGATAATCCCGAGGGTGTGTATCAACTAGAAGACGCAAACCCTAGTCTCCTTCTCCCGGATCTCTAAAGGTCATCTCCAATGGAGTCAGGTACGCTTCCGTTCAGTTATTTCTCTAGATAATTCCAATATGAAGATTAAAGTATTCATGGATTTATTCCAACACGAAAAACATATATATGTAGTGAAAATGTAAATGACAAACAAGTTTTGATAGAGTAATTCCATGCAGTTAGACATTTTGTTGATATGATCACCAAGCTTTCTTTAGAAATGTGGCATTGATGATTTTTTGACGAAGTATGAATCATGTTGGTCTAAAGTCAGAAGAGGTTTAAGATATGAAAAATTTCTAATATGTGGGATTAACGTAATAGATGAAAAACTTTTGTTCTTGAACAAAATATATACATGAAAAAAATTGTCAATTCGTGTTAGACCAACAGACTTTTTGATTTTTTGTTTTACAATAGGATGAAAGTTAGATATATACAAATCATATTATTAGATAAAGTTGTATTGAAGGATGAAATAACAAAATTGAATTATACTAGTACTTCATTTTTTAACACGGTAGTATTTTGATACAATGAGCTCGATGGGTTCAAAACTAGACCTATAATCTATATATGTTCTTGAAACCGACATTGAATAACTTTTTCAGTTAAAAATATTAATCTAAATAGACTAGACAGAAAAAATCAGTTCAGGGGCGGAGCCAGGACAGTGGGCCGGACTGCATCAGTGCAAAGAATATTTTTCAGAAAACTTTTACAAAATTTTTTTTACCATAAACTTAACACATTTCATAAATTTGTGAGCCAGGCTCTACGTTGGTCCTCCCCTAGATCCTCCCATGGACCAGTGATGCACCCAACCCGAGCCACTCTCATCCATGCGGCCGGTTGTGCCCCACTTTATAAAACTTCTGGATCCGTCACTGGATGGATATACTCTAAACATAAACATTAGTTGCTTCAAGTTTCCACCGTCACTACATTTGAAATACTTAAAACATAAAAATTAGTTACTTGGACGTCATGAATACAACGCTAATACATCCCACTCATCATTAATAATTAAAACATGAATATTAATTACTTGGATGTCACTAGTATAGACGAATTACATGGGAACTGGTTTTTGTGTAAAATGACAACTTCTTTCCTAAGTTTTAGGATGTCAGTTACGATAAAAATGATAATATATCATGAAACTTTACCAATCAAATTGAGACGATAAAAATACAACACAAATACAACTACCACTACCGCGAGTTTAGTGAGACAAGCATTTTTGTCCAATTTTTTTCAAGTTTTGCATGTATAATCAAGACTACTCTTAATTTGGAATAAGTATGGATGAAAATACAACTACCATTACCGCGAGTTTAGTGAGACAAGCATTTTTTCAAATTTTTTCAAGTTTTGAATGAAAATTGAAAACAATTATGGATGATAATATCCCTTTTAATATAGGTCAAAATGTCAAAATGCACGTAAAAACCTGTATGGTTTAACAACAAAAATGTTTGATGTAAATTTTTTTATGAACATTTTATCTGTGTACAATGTTATCGATATACATACAAATTGTCTGCAAATGCAACAATTGTTTGTGTTTAAATAACTGTATTCATGTAAACCGAGAATGTGTGGGAGTGCTTTAAAGAAAAGATGTACAATTAACATTTTTGTTTTATCAAATAGACCCATCATGTGAGAATGGACCAACAGTGGACCAAAATTGGAAAAACCGAAAAAGTTCAAAATGAAAATGCGACCAAGAGAGTACAGCATAAGACAAGACAACAACAATAATAACCCAAAACAAGAAGCAACAAGAACCACCTTGTCCCGGTCCCCCCAATTCAGTCAAAGCAAGAAGAGGATCCAGTTGTCCCCCGCGTCTGATAGAGGGGATGCGGAATTGGTGATGGAGAAAGCAGAGCAAGAGTTAGAGAGGAGAAGCAAGTTCTTGAACACCCTGATACTGAGGAAGAAGGCCGTGGAGGAGCAGAAGAACCAGCCGCCGCCGCCGCCGCAGAATGAGCTCCGTAATCTCCGCGTGAGGGCCTCCGACATGCCCTTAGCCCTTCAGAACAGAGCTTTTAGGTGCGCTAAGAACTGCCTTGATTCCATGCCCTCTCCCAAGCTTGACAGCAAACGCCTCGCCCTTGCTCTCAAGAAGGTAATCCACCTGCCTTGCCATTTTTGTCTAGTCCGCTTTCCAGGATTTTACACTTCTCTGATTGATTTTGTCCCGTTTTTGTGGGGAACTTTATACTCCCAATTCACTACCCATTTTACCAGAAAGATCGATTCTTTTCTGCAAAGGGCTCAAATTTGTCAATGGTAGAGTCATGTTTGTGCAGAATTTGCTTAATACCTAACCTTTTCTTCTATTTTACTGGGTCTGAGATGTCCTTGCTTTCTTTTCTTTACCTTGCCTCTTATGTTGGTTTATATTGTTGCATTAGATGTCATTCGTACATTGACTTCCTGATCACTCTGGCAATTTTTGTAAAAAGAAAGAATGAAAAATAAGAGCTTTACATTCGTTTTTTGGGACTAACAGATCATAACAAATGTTATTATTTGTGTTGTGCCAAAAGTAAAAGAAGACCTTGCTGAGGTTGCAGCTAGATTACATTGTGGGAAATCAGTGGTTGCACCCACTTTTTCTTCCAAATTTGAGTTTGTACCCCATTTTTCAAACCATTAGTATCTGCACTTCAAAAGTGAGAATTTGCACCCCACATTTTTTTTTGAAAGGCACCCCACTTTATTAACAACTTTTTCTAACTTTAGGGAGTGCATATATTCATGATTTCAAAAAGTGAGATTTAAACTAAAATTTGGGTGAGATGGTGGGGTACATTGTGCCTAGCTACATATGCCTCTGTATTCATTATGCAATGAGTATATTTCTGTACATGGTGAACTGGATTCTCTGGCCGTCCGTAGTATTGGTACATCATAGCTTTGGTGTGTGTACATACATGTATATATCACTCGATTTTAATTGTTTGAAGATATACGTAGTATGTGGCAGACTGGCAGTGTTATCTTTTGGGAAATCATTAACAATCTACGCTCCATCAGGTTACAGACCCAAAATATTGTCTTCCATACTTCGTATATTCTATCTTATTCATTTTATTCCTAATCTTATTGATGATATCCTGGATGGAGCATAGGTTTCAGATATTGCAGCCCCCCCCCCCCCCCCCCCCCCCCCCATAAATGATTAAAATTTTGGTTTGGTTAACTACAGGAATTCGACTCAGCTTACGGTCCAGCTTGGCATTGCATTGTGGGAACAAGCTTTGGGTCATATGTGACGCACTCAATGGGAGGCTTTTTGTACTTCTCCATTGACAAGGTTTATGTTCTTCTTTTTAAAACTGCTGTAAAGCCTTTGAACAAATAAATGATCACTGTGTTCTGATGATTCCCATTACATCTCCTGTTATTTTGGACCGTTTTCTGGGGAGCAAACTCCTGCTAAGTTAGTCCTGATCTTGAAAAGTTACAATAACGTAGAAATGAACTGTGGAAACTAATGACTGCACTGAGTTCTTAGATTTTGTTCATATATATATATATATATTGTAGCTAGTGTGTTGCATTGCCACATACTGTTTGTCACATTTTTTCGTTTTAGCTTTTCCTACAATGTCTTGTAACTTAGAGTATAAATGTTATACACAAATGCAATTGGAATGCACAGTTATTTTTCCTTTGGGTGGTGTGCCAAGTCTTCATCCCAAACACCAATGGGACACAGAGATGATTAATACTTGCACTTCAACTCCAAAGATTGCACCTACATAAGGTGATGTTGTGCCATAGCCCTGGGTCATTGAAGGGGAGTAGCCCTAGCCTTAGTCCTGCATTCGGCATTCCCTGATGGAATTGGGTGGTTCAGGTCTGGTTCTAGGGTCAGTTCCGAGACCGGTTTCCTAGCCTACATTTAGAAAACTGGCGTGCGAGACGGAATTGGACAGGTCTGGGATTGAAACCATATAATCAGCCCAACTTCCTGGATCAGGTTCACTCTTGTGCTTGCAACAAATCAGGCCCTATACCTTGCTTGAGCCCAACTGCTCAATGGTTGCGTAATCATTTCAAATCGCCTCAGCATTTGCACAAAATTGCCTCATCATCAACATTTGCCTCAAAGTACTAGGTTTGTTTATGACTAATAAGCGGTTAGTATAAAACAACAATAACATTACGTATTACGTAGTCTTACCCTTGTACTAATAAGCGGTTAGTATGTGTTTGGAAATTAAGTTCCCTTGTCAAACCTGAGTTGTACAGGGCCCGGGTCAGCGAGCATCATTCACACGATCACATCCATTCAAAGTTGCACACAAAGCCCCAACTTTAAGTTATTAAGTACAAGTGTACAACAAATGTTTCATTTAAACGAATACAATAAAGTATATGTGGGCACAATCAGTTCCAAAAGCTTCAAATCAATCTGATTGCATAAAAATAATAATTACATATTATCACGATTCACGAATCTACCACTCTTGATTGATCAACTCAATGAAGCAACCTCAAAACTACTCGCAAGCTGAGCTTTGAATTGCATTGCTACTACGTTACCTTCAGGGGTAGTCTCGGCCCTCGGGGAAGCAAATTCAAATGAATAGAATTTATCAACACCAGAAAAAATACCAGAACAAAGTAAACTATGCTTATCCGTTTTACAAAAAAACAATAGACCAGATTGTGAAGCAAACGATTAGAGAGATAATGAGAGAATAGTCATCTCGTAAGTATTGTAATCCACAACTAGAGCTAGAGCCTGTAGAGTTTGTTGATGGAACGTGAGAACTCCCATTTCTCCAAACACTGTACAAACCAAGAGGGAAAAATAATAGCATTGCTGTTCAAGTATTTATTTACATTGCACAAATGTCAAACGATAAACATAGGTAGTATAAGAGTATGAGTCAAAGCTGGTATCAAGTTATTGGGTTAACCTTTTAGGATATAAATTCAAGTCTCTATATGGTATCAAAGTTTTTGGTTTAGTTGTGGTTTTTTTGTTTAGTTAAAGGTAACCCGTTTTTCCATTTGATATAGAAATGTTTAAAAGCAACGCAGTGAAAATAAGCCCATACCTTCCAGGATATATACAAGTGCCATTACCTGCATAGGACAAAGCTATCAGCATTCCAGTATACATCTAGAACCAGAAGCATTTCTAGTATAAAAATCCCCTCCGATCCTTCAAATGAAGCAGGATCATAGATTGCCAGAAATGAAATGGTGGTTCTACTTACTTGGGTCAACAGTGGTGATAATGGCTGCCTCTTTGAAGTCACAGGCGCTATTGTTCAAGCCTTGGCTATAGTAATATGCATCAAAAGCATACGAAGCATGACTGCGAACAGTGTTCGGTTCATAGCATGGCTGTCCTGGATCCAAAACGGAGCAGCCCACATTTCCGGGGCCACAAGCCCAATCCAGCCCTGCTTGAATCAAGCCATTTTCAGCCGATGGCTTAGCAATACAGAACGTCCTGTTCGTGGTGTCATTCATGAACAACCCCCAATTCCCCCCAGTCAAATGCAAGGTATAAACTGGCACCCCGAACCGGTCAAACAGCCCCCAATGCTGCTCAGAAGTCGCCCCAGGGCTTCTATCTTCATTGTATAGCTCATAGATGTATGTACTCACTCCAACCCTAGGGTGCTTTGGGGTGCCACTGATGTTGAGCACGTGACTAATCAGGTTGCTATTGTACGTGTTCGCGTTATCAAGCGTAGCGTCCGGCTCCGTCGGGTCCCCTCTCGAAGGCCACCCCGATTCGGTCACCACAACCGGTATATCGCTGAAATTCCGCGCCTCCACGGCGAAATACGCCGCGTCGATCATCGCATCGAACACATTCGTGTAGTGCAGGAGCGTGTGGGAGTCGATCGCCTCCTTGTTCGCCGGAAGGGGGCGGAAAAGCGCGTAATCCAGCGGGATCGAATTGTTGGACCGCATAAAGGAGTAGTACGGGTAGACGTTGAGCATGAGATACGAGCCGGTGGAGTTGAGGAACCGGAGGAGGGGGTCCATCACTCCGAGCCAGGTGCCGTTGAACCGAGCCTGTGATGGCGGGAAGGAGTTGAGGATGACGTCGGACGAGAGGGGAGTGGAGATTTTGATCTGGGAGTCGAGATTGGCGCCGACGAGGGCGGAGTGGATGAAAGTCATGGCGGAGACCAGGATGCTGGCGGCGTTCGGGAGGGTGGTGAGGACGTCGGACCCGACGGCGATGGCGGTGATGTTGGTGTCGGGGACTAGGGTGAGGATGTTGTGCGAGACCCATTGCGCGGCGGTCTGGTTGGATGCGCCGATGCCGATGAGCAGTTCATTGGGAATGGTAACGATGACGCTTATTCCGGTGTTGGCCAGCGCACGGAGCATTGCTTGGTCAGCATCGAAGAGTCTGACGTGGCGAATTTGCTGCTTTTTTAGGAGGTTCACCACTTGAGTTGGACTGGGCATATTGGTGATGTCTTTGCCGATATTTACACCAATGAAAGCCTCTGCCCAATAAAGAAAAAATTCTATACTTATTATACAAAAAAGGAAAAAGATAGTGTACAGTTATTATACCACAAATAGGAAAAATTATATAGGAAAAAGGTACTTCATTTGTCACAATTTCCGGGAAGAAACTCACTCAAAGAAAAGCAAAGCAGTTATAGTCTGTTGCACGGAAACGTAAAAATCATGAGGAAATGGGAAACGGGAAACGTCAACTTTTGCTCAAAAAATGCTAATTTGGAGAGTTTCCAAAGAGTTTCCGAATGTTTCCGAAACGGGAAACATACTCTTCCCCGAGAGTTTCCGTGCTACATAGGTTATAGTAGTATCGATAGGGTACTTTATAAAGTTTATATTAATTATCTTAAATTAAATAAAAATAACCGAGACGTATAAACTGAGATGAAGGGAGTATACCACAAACAAAACTGCAGACATTCCCTCTAAAAAGATTATCTTAAAATTCATACATGAAATGAAGCAATTTTCCTGAACCAAACAAACTTAATGAACCATTTCAACATATACTCCGAAGTTCCTCAAATATGCAACATTTAGAGCCACTTTTTGGGTACATTCAGAAACAAGCAGAACATTGGCCACTACCTTAGAACAAGGTAGCCACATATACAAGCTGCTCCATAGATCAACCGAAGAACAGATGTCATGGAACAACACTGTCAAACAAGATGGAAAAGTTCATGGTACTCAACTACACATTCTATCATATTGACCAGTTAAATTCTAATCAATTTTGTTTTTCCCTATTTATTGTGAAGCAATTAATACTAACTCTATGCTATTTATGATGTTTTTATTTGGACTGAAATTTTCTGGTCTGGTCCAGTCTGGTCTGAACTAGTCTAGTCTGGTAAATGTCTGATATCTGTGTATTTTATAACTATCCAAGTTTGGTCTGTTCTGGTCTGGGACGGAGAACAATCCAAGTAAAAACATTCTTACACTTTCTGCGGCGGAACTAGAACGTTTTTTTAGGGGATGTCGAGAAATATATGAAACATCAAAACAAACAAGTTGATAATAAATTAGAAAATAAACTCATATGATTGTCTAAATTAAAAGTTCTGGTTCCGTCACTGATTTATACCTATTAAGTTCTAGCATGTTTTGCTGCCTTGGTGGTGCTATCTAGAACAAGTTTTACTCTAGTTTGTGAACCTATCTCCAAATGTTTACAAAATAATAGAAATTTTCTGCAAGTGAATGAGCAAGATTGATGAGTTCAAATTCCTTATTAAAAATGTAATGACGGAAATTAGGTGTTTTTAAACATGCTCTGGGAAGAGAATAGAAATGAATAAAGATTTCATATTTCTCTAGTTTGTAGAATAATCCTAAACTTTGATGCCTAAATTGTAAAATTATTCCAATTTGCAAAGGTATATGAATAAATAATGAAACAGATTGAAGAATTTATTTGATCCACTCTACAGAACTAATTCAAGCATTCCTAGCTCTAGGGTTTCAAAGAAGAATCTTGTTCCTTTTCACACACCTTTGCAAAACATTCAATAAATTCTCAGGATCTTAGCTATCTTTATGTTTACACAATTCAGGAATACATACAAACAAAACATACATGATATCCTAGAACAGCAGTCAATAAAAAGGGCAATGCTCTTTTCTCCCTCCCTCTCCCTCTCTCTCTCTATTTTCTTTGGCAAGTAGTAACAAATGGATGAAAAAGAAAACCCCAGAAATAAAGTCAATTATAGATGAAAGAAAGGAAGTGACCTGCTTCTCCATGCCCAGAAGGAGTGGCATATAATACTGAGATATGGAGAGTAAGAAGAAGCAGAGGCAATAATACATTCCTCGATTTCCCCATCGGTTCAACCGCGTCCAAAGCTATAGTCTTTATAAAGAAACAGAACACCACCAAATTCTACCAAACTAATGTATTACTTTAGAAGAAGTAAAAAAGGTGGGAAATAGGAGAATTGGGCTTTTCTTTTTTGAGGAAAATGGGTAGTCTAGCAACAAGAAAGTGAGACAGAGCAGAGTGTATTTTTAAAAAAAGGTGTTTCAGGAATTGTGGAAACCGAGAGGAAAAGAAGTATTCCTCTGATTAGTCAATGCTCCGTATTTGTTA